TCTAGTTGAGGGTATATTAATTAATTAATGAGAGATTTTATTGATGTTTTAGCTTCCGACACCTTTATTTGAAAAAAAAAAAAAAACCGACCAAAAAGTTTAGATTCAAAACATTATATTTTCTTTTCGGTTCAATTTTAAGTTGTTGTAAGTAATTATACAAAACTACAGAGTAAGGTATGACTAAGTGGGTTAATTGTTGGCAAGAAAAAAGTCAGCCGACTATCCCTTCAGATTCAATTTTGAGTTGATGTTCAAATGAGATCTTACAATTAATTGTACTTATGAGTATTAAGGCTTGTAGCATAAAACCTCATTTATAAGGGTATGCTCAACCGTATAATAAATTCTCATGTCACTTATTTTTAAATTATGTACTTGTGATCGAGAAATTGATAACTGACTTTATATTCATATATATTTTTTTCATGCATATATAAATTACTAATTCACTTACTTTGTGATTTATCTTGGTAGAACATAACTAATTACATAAGCTTAGCATTGACTCAATTAAGTGATTTATTATTCATCTTAATATAAGGCATTTCTATTTTCACACCTCTTATTAATTGTATTCATTTTTAGGCATTTATTCTTATATCCAAGGTTGCATATGAACATTCACAATGAAATAATGTAGATATACAATAGTTTGCATATGGGCTGAAAAGGATTAATTGATGAATTTTTGAATGATGTTGAGTATCTTGTGCTGCCGACATCTCAACTTATTTATTTTTTAGCAGATATAAAGAAATTGTGCTCAATACAATAATAACTCAAGTTGTTAGACAGGTAGAGGATGGGCCACCAAGTATAAAAGCTCATAAGTTGTATGAACTATTGAATGCCGCATAATAACCATTATGAGAAGGTTTCATGATAAAATGTTGAGCATCAAAATCAAATATAATATATCTCAAGTATTTTTCAATCAATTTGCAAGATTATTAAATTAGACTAGCCCAAAGGAAAATTAAATTCAATCAATTTGCAAGATTAGTGTGTCTTTATTTCGGATCTTTCAAAGGCATTTCTCTAAAAAATGGTAGAAAAAATTTTATGGTTTCACCAGCATCTAGTATTTTTTCATCGCTGATTACACAAAAAAATGATTTTATAAAAATAGAGTAGAGAAATTCATGCTTTCATTAAGGTTAACTAAAGATGAGTTATGACATATTGTAGTGCAATTTTAAAAATTACTGATTTTCTAATGTTATTTTTTACTTTGTCGCTCTAAATTTGTATAAATCATAATTGGATAAGGTAAAGTATTTTATGGGATATCTATTAAAAAATATATTCAGTTAGACAACTTTAGTTTCGTGCATATATATATATATATGCTTCGTTCTCGCTCTGCTAGGGTTTCGCCTCACGGCGAACCCTAGCCTCTGCTAAGACATTTTTTGCTCTTCTGTTTTTGAAAAGCTTCGTCGAGCTGCTCCCGATCGCGGTTCGTCGAGCTGCTCCCGATCTTGGTTCGTCGAGCTTCGTCTTCTCTTCGCGATCTTCGACGACGTTGATTTCGCACTTGTAGACGATGACGGACGTCCTCTGCTTCCGTCATCTGCTTTCTGCCCCCCGCTTTGCTCCTTTTGTTTCCCGTTGTCTTCGTGCCGCTCGCGCGGGTCTTGCGGTCAAGTTGCGATAGTAGGCAACAATTTCCTTCAATGCCAATAGCTTCCTCCCTTACTTGTGAGGAAGATGGCCTCGACGCTCCGTTCTTATGCAAATGCCCTTGCCGGCGACTTGCCTATTCCTTCTCGTGCCCTTCCTCCTGGTTCAGTGTATGCTTTTGCTATCGGTAAGTCCTGCAATGTTCCACAATCGTACCACGAGGCTATCGAAGGTGGCGGTGATCACACTTTTATTAAAAAGCTTGAAAAAAAATGGGAAGTCTGCACTTATTCTCACTGAGGTTGAAACTGGTACTCTAGCGTCCTCTTGGCGTTTTGTTCTAGTGGGGAAATTCCTTTATGTTCTTCCAAAACTGGAGATCATTAGGAAAGAATTTGATGCTATGAAACTATTGGGCAGTTGAAATATTGGTCTGCTAGATGGTCGACATATACTTATTCAGCTATCTCACGATGTCGATTACACTCGCATTTTCTCTCGAAGAATTATTAAGATTGACAATCGTTTTATGAAAATTCTGAAATGGGTTGTTGATTTTGATCCAAAAGCGGAGTCCCCTATCATTCCAGTTTGAATAAAGTTTCCAGAGTTAAAATTACATCTGTTCAAAATGGAAATTCTTTACTCTTTAGCAACTGCTTACGATAATGACTTCTGTGTTAGTTGAGAGAGATATCACTCAACCAGCTCCGGATGAGATATGGATTGACACTATTCACAACGGGTATTGACAAAAGGTTGAGATAGAACCACATCCTTCTTATTACTCTCATTGTAGTATGTTTGACCACAACTCTACTATTTGTTATCGCTTGCATCCTCATCTAAGGTTGAATGTCGCTAAAGATCAGTCACCTACCATCATTGTTGAGAAGGTCCAATCCAATCCTCTTTCCAACATCGCAGTTCTAGATGAAGAACACCTTACTACAAGTACAGATCTAAATGTGCTGATACCACTTATTGTTATTAAAGAAAAAGACCCACTTACATGTCCAGACACATGAGAGTGCTTCTTTGACCCGATAGAAGATTAACTGGTACAACAAGTAGTTACTTCTAATGTTCAACAACCTACACATATCCTGCACATTTCAGACCATTCTGCTGATCAGGCGTGCCAATCTTCGGATGAGGAATGACAAGCATATACGAGGAAGAAGAAAAAGAACGGAGGACGACTCGAGCTAGAGAATCTATTGGATGATACATTGGTTACTACTGGCAATGACACTCATCTGACCAATTTATTAGCTAGCTCTTTCCGTAGAGGCAGAGGCAGAGGCAAAATTGGGTCGCTCTCCAGCTGCCTGATACTCTAATTTTGACACTTTTTAGTTTTTTATTTAGATCTCTTATGTATTTTGTTGTATTTTCTCTTTTTTGGAACCATTTGATTTGATAGTTTTTGTGTGGGCCGGGTGTCATGTTTGAGACCTTCCACAAAATCTATGTACCTTTTTTTATGTAATATTAGATTTTATTTGAACGAGTGCTGCAAAGAAAGAGAGAGCTCCAAAATCATCTGGGGGTAAATGTATAAAGCCTAAAAAAGTCGAGTATTATCTAAATTTAGATTTATGAGGAACAATTTATGATTGATTGTAATCTCTGAAGTTCCCTAACGAGTATGCATGTAATTTGAGTCGATGTGTTGACTGGGAGAAGAAAATAAAGGCCATGTATATCATGTTTTTTAATAATGCTTGTTGTTATCTACATTTAATTCCTTGTTTATTTAGATATTTAATTCTTTAAATGAAACCAGGGTATTTATTAAAGAATTGTGTGCAACTCGTTTAAATGATGATGATATAAGAAAACTTGAAGCGAACATTCCACTAATATGGTGCAAGTTTGAAATAATATTTTCATTTATTTTTTTGACTTGTGGGAGTATCTGCAAATAAATTTACTCTAATGAGGCCATAGTTGGAGGTCCAACATAATATCGATTGTTATATATAATTTTCAATAATTTGCATAGTGTCATTGCCTTATTGCACTAATTTTCTGATGCTATCGTAGATTTTGAATAAACTTAAAAGAATTGTGAAGAATACAATATGACCTGAAGGTTTAATAAGCATATTTATTACATGAGACTATTAATTTTTGTTTTACTACTTTGAGTCATCAGAATACATACGATGATGTTATAGGTGTTAGACCTTTGCCACCTGTGATTTTATTTTTCGACAA